TCGGAGATTATAAAGACATACAACAAAAAAGACGGCGGGGGGGGGGGGGGCGATAGCCCTGGATCAGACAAGAAAAGCTAGAGGTTTGAACCGGTTTACCCTGCTTTTATTGAAAGTGGATGCCTAAACAGACGAGCGAACAAACAAATAAATCGACAAGTTGATCCAGAGAAAGGGGGAAAGAGAGACTTTCGAGCGGACTGTAAAATTGCCATAAAAGAAATGGCCATCGCCGTTGTGACAGTACTATCTGATCCTGTCGGGGACTACTCCGTCAAGAACGGCAATACTAATATCAGTGGACTACTAGGAAGAGGACAGGGTGTGTGGGTCGGGGGGACGCCATGCCAATTGGGTGATTTTTATTTTTTTTATTTTTTATTTTTTGGGAGACTGCTCCAGTGGTGCCCTTAGAAGTTTCCCCCTCGTGAAAAGGAAGGCTTATTTCCAGGTTCAGGAAATTGCTCCATTGTTTGGAACGTGTAAAGGAAATACTACAAAGGTTTTATGGAGCCATTGAGGGTCCCCCATCCCACCCCGAGTTTGTTTCTACTGTAAATAGTTCTCAAGACAGGGCAGGCCTGAGGGAGGGAGAGAGAAAGAGGGAGGATGTTTGGTGTATATAGTGAATGCGTGTAGGTTTATTGCTGAACAGGAACACGAACTCTCACACACAAAAAAATACATGGGCAGCCTCCTTCCGAATGTCCATTGGCCTGTTCCCCTAGTTAAGTCAAACTTTTAGATGCATGGGACAATGTTAAATGCATAAGATGATATAAGCAGTGTTCCCTCTAAGCTCTAAGCCTTTGCTTAGCTCTAAGCTCTAAGGCTTTGCTCAGGAAGGATGTCTCCAGAGCAAACTAATTTATACAGCAGCCAAATCGCTCGCTCACAACTTTAAGGCCAGTACTTCACAAAGTTGAATTTTGCTCTCAAGACTCCACAGCTTAGAGGAAGCACTGGATAGAAGCTATATTTAATAATTTAAAAAGACTTAGGAACCCAGGGATGGGAGTCTTCAAGCACCAGGAGAAAGATAAGCAGATTTTCAAGAGCAGAGGTGGTACTTTCTTCTCCTTACAAAACATCTGGAACAGCGAAAGTTTCCCAAAGGCCCTCATGATAAAACCATCCATATCAACCTGACCTACCCTGCTGACCAGTCCTACCATTCTCAACTAATCCAATCGTGTACATTCCTGTGGTAAAACAAGTACCTTCACAAAGTCAATTGAAGTCAATGGAAAGTGATCTGGAGGAAGAGCTGCTTACCCGACCCCAGCGGTTCTGTTCAGTGGGGGTTTTAAGCAGATGTAGAAATGGGTTCTTTGTCAAGAAGGTCTTGTTTCTATCTGAACCATTAAGATTTGGGGAATGGGAGAAAGGGGAAAGGAAGAGAAGGAAACGTACCCAGTCCTTTGAAGGTCTGTCGAGGAATTCAAAGCTATGATATACGCACGCTAGGTTGCCTCAAGAACTGTTCAACATTTCAGGAAAGGCCCAGCCAAGGAAAAGGAAAAGCTAGTTTGTGAAGACAGTAGAGACAGACAAATGGAATATACACAACTCAAAGTACTTCACACACAGACAGACACACACACACACCGGGAAACAAGATTTGCCATTGTTTATACGAAACTATGTCTGCCGCAATCCTGTGCATATTTGTTCCCAAATAAAAGCTTCCTTACAACCCCAGGGACTCCCTTCCAACTCGAGTTTGAGGACTGATAAGGGAGACCCATTGATCTGAAGAAAACTCAAGAAATCCAGGAACAGTGAAAGTTTGGACTTAGCATTTTTTTGGCTTCTAAGAATAGTTAGCTCCCCCATTGGACTCAGTGGGATTTCCCAGAGGTTCACTGTGGTTGAATCGTGTCTCAAGGTTTTTTTTTTTTGGGGGGGGGGGGTTTAGCTTGACAAAGGGAATGGGTTAAAATCAAGGGTTTTCACCCCCTGTACTTGAGATATTTTTGAAACAAACCAACAGTCGGTTGGGGGCGAAAGTTGGACGAGAATCGCACAAGAAAAAGGCACCTTTGAAAGCTCCTTTCTGCAACGCCAAACCTGGCCTTAATTTGTTGAAGTATTATTTAACGTTTATTCAATATGACAAAATATATATGTTCCATGGTTTTTCCACATATGAAATTACAACCAATAAATATATGGAATACGACATAGCGGAAAGGAATGGGGGACGTGGCTAGGGTGGTCTACAGGTAAACAAAAGGTGTACATTTGTATGAAAATTCAGCATATTTTGAGTTGTTGTTTTTTTTTGCAAGGCTACATTAATTACGCGACAAATAAATACACAGGAATATTTAAGTCGAGAGACTTCGCGCTCTTCTCCCCTCCCCCCGCCCACTCCCCAACAGTGCTTTAATATTTTTGCACAAATATCTCCCTGGGGATACGCTAAAGCAGATTTGTTCATTGTCCATTCACTTTTCTTTCATATGCAAATAATACAAAAATAAGTCAGTGAGGGGGGGGAGATAATAAAATTAAACACACACACACACAAATACCTCCCCCCCAAACTCGTCTCTTCGCGAGCATGTACCCCCCCACACACACACACAACATTTCAGGTTAAGTGCATCCAGGAAGCCACATTCGTGGCCACTTCCAATCCTCCTCAAAAGTAAAAAACAGGGTCTCTCACACTCGGAGCATGCTGCTCGACCCCAGGCACGTTTACTCGGAAGTAAGTCTCCACGGAGTCCAGTGGGACTCGCCTGCACTTTCACGTGTGCCCAAAGGACTGTAGTTTTCCATCCCATTGGACTTGGATGGGCATCTCCAAGGAGACGACTTCCGAGTTCTGGTGCTGTGGAACTGAGTCCTGAGGACTTTCCCAAAGTCCTGAAGATTCTCCCCCCCCCTCCCCACCCCACTTTTAAAACTCATAACTTGGCCTTCGGGATCCTTTCGTTCGCTTATGATAACGCTGGACTCGTAGTGATGGGGAGGAAGGCTGGTCGAATGTCACCCAACTCAACTCCGAGATGGGTTGTGGTTTGACCCGGCAGGTTTCCCAAGTTTCCCCACCCTTCGGCAAGTTAGAGACCGCGGCTTGGTCAGGAGTCCTCCAGAGGAGCTTTAAGAATGGGTTCTACTAGAAGCTAAAGACCTGGGGGGTGGGAGTGGGGTGGGGGAAGCTTTATTTTGCATACTAATCAGAAAACGCCTTTGTCTGATAGATCTGCCAGAGTAAAAGAAGCTCAGTCCAGTCCGCAGCCCCCCCCTTCCCCGCCCTTTCCTACTCTTCCCTCCAAAGGGGGGGAAAATAAAGTTTTGTCAAGGTAGGTTGACCACTCTTGTCACCACGAAGTGACTCCCCCCCCCGCCCCCCGCCCCGTCCCAGGCTTCTACCTAGAGGGCTTCTTTGCTTTTCATTTTGGAATCTTTCTTCCATTTCATCCGCCGGTTTTGAAACCATATTTTGATCTGCCTTTCATTCAAACACAGGTTGTTGGCAATCTCTATGCGCCTCCGGCGGGTGAGATATCTGTTAAAATGAAATTCTTTTTCTAGTTCCAGAGTTTGGTAGCGAGTGTAGCTGGTTCTGGAGCGTTTGCCGTCTGCTTCTGGAAAAATAAAAGACACCAGGTTGTTGGTTGGTTGTGTTTTTTTTTAAAGCACAAAACAAACAAACCGTGAAGTTGTTTGTTTGTGTTTTTTAATTGGGGGGGGGGAGCGTAGGAAAGGCCAAAAAGAATGAGGGAGATTCTTTGGTTTTACATAGTTTTCAAAATGTTTCCTGGTAGATCCGGGGAAGAGGGTGTATTTTCCAATACATGCTTGCTGAAGTTTGGAGTTCAGCATAAGGTTAACTCCCCCCCCCCCCCGGAAATTATTTTTACTCAGGCCACGAGAAAAGTCCCTCTGAGAACGGTAATATCACACCTAGCCGTCCATTTCCTGGGCTACGAAAAGTCACGCCTTATGGAATAAACGTGGCAAGGTTTTTTTGAAATCCGTAAACTCCCCCCCCTTCAAGAATGCTCAGCCTTTCCATGCTATTTCCCACCCTTAAAAAAAAAAAAAACAACCCTTTCCTTCTTCTCTACCCCACCCCCCCAAACGGAATATTGCCTTTATACCCGTTTTGTTTCTATGATCCAATTATGCCGTCATAAATTTGGGCGTATATAGCCTCTAAGCCTTTTAGAGGACAGTTTTACGAGCAATTGATGCCTTAGTCGTAAAATTTACGACCCCAGGTTTTTTTCCCCCCCTTATTATTTGCCCCGTATGGCCTATAAAACCCAGGCAAATCCTGTGAAACAAAATCGAGAAGCGAAAGTTTACCGTGGCTCATGTGCAGTTTGGTCATCCACGGGTATATTTGTGGAGGCGGCTGCTGCTGCTGCTGCTGCTGGTGTTGGTGCTGCGGCTGCTGCTGCGGCTGCGGCTGCCTGAGCTGCCCGCTATGCTGGGCGGTCTGCCCCGGTTCACTCTTGATTTCCCCATTGCTCTTAGCTCTATCTTCCATCGGCGTGGAGGAAGAGGAGGAGGTGGTGGTGGTGGTGGTGTTACCAGTTTTCTGGCTGTAAATTCCTGGGTTTAGAGAAGTCTGGTCGTCTCTCCCTAAAGTGTGCCCTGAAGATCCCATGACTGTACAGGAAGGTCGGTCGGGGTTAGTTCTGGGGGTTGAAGACATGTCCACACCGCTCAGAGAGTTGGAAGCCCCAGATGAAGGGAATGTAATGCTCAGATCCAGCCCACTGTAGCAATACCTGGATGGCTGAACCTCAGACACTGATCCATAATTCCCATAACTTTGCATGGCATAAGCTGGAACATTTGGATTTTGCTTATAGAACGAATTGGCTACGTAGGAACTCATGTCAGGAATTATATTCCCCCCACTCCCTCTCTCCCTCTCTCTCTCTCTCTCTCTCTCTCACTCACTCTCTCTCTCCCTCTCTCTTTCTCTCACACCCCTTTGATTAGGCTTGATTTGTGGCCCTTTTGAAGTTCAGGGTTTTTTGTTCTCTAAAGTGCAGAATTTATAGGTGGGGATTCTTCTTTTCTTTATTCTATGTGCGCTGCCCAAATATGGAATGTTTAAATAGAATCACGTGACGGTGTTGGCCAGTCATAAATTTGGCTTGATGACCCCAGGAGGTTATTGATGGAAGCCCGTGAAACGTATGTGATATGTTGGCATAGCGAAGAAGAAGAAAAAAAGGCCCCACACTCAAAACACCGAGACAATGAGACTATAGCGTCACCTGGTGCCGGGTCTGGGGTATGACGTTTCATAAAATACTACCCCTCCGTTTAACGCTCCAAGGCTTAAGGGTGTGAAACAACTCAATACGCAGAAACGCCCTTAAGCCTTCCTAAGACTGGAAGGCGAGAGCTCGGGTCCCGTCCGCAGCTATTCGCAGGGATTTTTTTTGCCATTGATGTAGATAATGTGAAATATGGCCGTGAGCAGAAACGCGTGTTATCATATTTCCTCATGTGTGTAGCCCGGATATGAGAAGAACTGTTTTGTTGTGTACATGTGTTGGGTGTGTGTTGAGCGCGCGCGCATCTCAGCTCCAGATAGGTGCCGTGATTTAGCACAGACATCATTCAGCAAGAGAGCTGGGTTCGAATTCTCTTTAGTTGAGGGAGAGGCCATAGGGACCTAGACATGGGCTGTGTCACCGGCAATGCTCTCAGTAGGCTTTACGTGTGTTCAGATGTGGCTGGTTGTACATGCATGTGCAATGCGGGCTTCACATGCATGCATGTATAATTGATCAACAGATCTGCTTTTTTAAAAAAAAAACACTCATCCATATGCAGCAGATGGAAACCCGGGCTAGATTAATCTTCTGGTCTCCGTGTGAAGTATCTGTGAGCCGTGTTGATATCTGTGTGGCTGCGTGTGCGTGTATCCAATGGCGGTTGTGAATCAAATTGGCCCGGTCATAAATCAACTTTTGTGCCGTGGGTGAATCAAATAAACACACACCTTGTCTCTCCTCTATATGGTCTGTACGCGGGCACGTGAGAAGCCTGTTTATAAAGCTCCCCCCCCCCTTTCTTTTTTGGTAACACAGAAAAGGTATGTGTTCACATTTCCCTTGCCCCTTTCAAACCTGAGAGTGGCTTTACCCGGCAAATTTCGAGAAATCAAATGCCTTCCTTTTGAGTGTTTAGGAAAACGCCTGAAAACATAACAGGATTCCCCCCCCCCCTTTAACTGTGGGGTTTTAACCCCTGGAGGGACCGAGTGTAAACCTAGTTCCGCTCACTTCTGCTCCGATTTTTACATAGCGTTCGAGGTGTGTGTGTGACTTTAAAACCTCCTCTAGCCCTGCATCTGAAATCTCTTGCACTCTTTTAGAGGCCTTTATATAATCTTTAGCTATTTCCCCCCCTTTTTTTCTTTTTTTAGACAGGCCTGTAGCCCAAACGTTTAACAGGGAGGAAAGGAACGTGTTTTTATGTACCTATATGTATATCTCGATAAAAGATATATTTACTGTACATATTAGATAATCTCATTAAAAATTTTAGTTCTCTCTCTTATACACACGCAGGAAATAAGAAAGAAACAGGGACTCTCTCTCTCTCCCTCTGTCTATGTCTCCCTCTCAGACACACAGACACACAAACACACAGAGAGAGAATACAACATGTCTACTGATACATACACACCCTAAGACAAACTGGAAGGGGCTGGCGAGGAACAGAGACGAGAAATTAACAAACGACGTGTATGCTAACCGGGCTTTTGTTTAATTCAGTTGGAGCCTCGGTGGTTTACTGCAACATATCAAGAGGCAGCCCGGGCTCCCTAGCCAGTGGGTATACTTAGAAACAAGGATTTCGCTTTCCGATTTGTATGTGTTTCTAAGGTGCCTGTGAGCTAAACAGAAGGCGCAAGACAATTCCCGACCCAGCGTCACAATGCCACATGAATGGGTGCAATTGCACACTAGGGTATTTATGGCCAACTGAACTTTTTTTTTTAAGTGTCTACACTCCAGGGGAGGGGGGGAAGGTTTTCTCCCACTACCCTGTTTGTTACGCCGAAATACATTTCGAAAGGGCTGTAAGGGTTC